CTACGCCGCTCGGGGGCCATGGGCCCGAGGCGCGCGACTACTCCCCGTCCCGCAACCCCCAGGAGGTGGAGGCGCGGTAGTCCCCGCGGGACCCCGCACCCAGTGTACAGAGGCCCTTCCACAAATGCACTGCTGTAAACTTTTCTACGTGGACGTTTCTAGAACCTAAGCACAGCGCCGTCAGTCCTGGGGTGACACTTGCTTAACACCCGAAGTCTGCACAGTCGGGGAGCTTCATCCACAGCTTTGCTGGGGGTGATCTTTTGTTTTCTGAGCTTGAAATTAGGCTACTGGAGGAGAATTCAAGTTTGTACATCTTTTCCCACAGGTGAGAAGCGTTTTTAATAGATTTGTATTTTTTTCAATTTTGTGCTCTTTAGACATTTAAAAAGAAAAGAGAAACTTTTGCTTTTTTATCTTCAGTTCAGATTTGCAATGTAAAGGCCTCAGATCCCTCTCTAGAGCCCCAGGATCTTTTGTCTTATTTATGGAGAAAAAACGGTCATTTTGTCCAGCGCACTGTGAGGCCCCCACTCAGGGCCCGCCTGGCCCTCCCTTGGTACTTGGAACCGAAGTTACAGATATATATTAAAATAATAATTAATAATAATGTACAAAACTTTTTTTGCCTTATTATGCAGAAGCATAAGAGGATTTCTTTTTTGGTTTGTTTTTAAAGAAAAAACAAATATGTAAATAGTCTGTTAATATAAATATATGACGTTATTAAATTCTTAACCTAGGTAGACTTTATAAAAGGCAGTTTCTAGAAACCTCTCTGGTTATTTGTTTAACATGGTCACAAAAAACCCACTTGCTGTCAGTTGGACACGTTCAGAAGCTTAACTGCAGCAGATCCTTCACTATGCAAGCGCTCAGAGGTGGGACTGGGCCGCTGTCTGGGGAGGGCCCTTCCCCCAGCCTCGCAACGAGCTGGGCCCCGCCCTCCTTGGGATTGGCCGGGACTGGCCGGCTCTGGCCACAAGGACACTGCTGTGGACCCTAGTGCTCACTTGAGCAGCGTTCTCAGAATCCATACCAGACAAGTAGATTTTTAGGAGTGAAGAGTCTAAAGGTTCATTGCAATCAGAAATAGTAACTTCTGTCCACTTTCCCTTCCATGCAAAGGCCATCGGCAAATGTCCCTCAGCGCGCTCCTCCACCTACGGAGGCCTTGGCATGATCTCCTTTTGGTTTCAGTTTTGCTTTCATAACCACCCGACCATCCCCTTGTCCTGTCCTCAGCGTCCTTCTCTGTTCCCCGACGTCCCCACCTGTGTCCACTGCACTCTTGAGCCTTGTTGGTTCGACCGTCGGCAGCCATCTGCTCTGTTCTGTATTTTCAACCCGTGTTTCCACTGTGGACTCTGGTTGTTTTAAACACTGAGTTCTCGTGTCAATCAATGAAGATAAATACAGCCTTGATTTTGGATCACAAGGTGGTCGGGTGTTTCTGTGTGGCACTGTAGAAGGTGGGGGTTCTCGGCCCCAGGACTGCCGTGGCGCGTTGGGCAGAGCCGGGCCGCCGGTCACCCTTGCCTAGAAGCAGAGCACCTTCGCGGGTCTCGGCCTTGCATCTCCGGCTCCGACTGGACCGGCACCGCCAGGGCTGCTCCTGCTGCTGGAATGCCCTCCTGCCCTTTGCCTGCCGCCTCCACCTTGGCTCATCCCCACCCCGTCAGCCTGCTCAGCCTTGTCCTCTCTGTGCACTGGGTGGAGGCTCACATCCATGCAGGGCTGGCCTTCCTCCTGCCCCACTGGCCTGGCCCCACACAGAGCCAGGTGAGCCTTTTGCGGACAAATGAGGGCTCAGGGAGGGAGGGGGCAGAGGCAGAACTGGCCACCTCTACTCTCAGGAGGAGAAGGGCAAGGGGCCGTTATCCCTACCCCATCCTTGGTTTGGAAATGGGGACTCTGAGTGGATTTAGGTGAGCAGCCAGGCCCGGAACTGCCCTGAGCCTAAGAAGGGCCCCCCTATGGAGGGTTGGGGTACCCCACGTGGAGCCCACTGTGCCCAGTGGCCCACGCTAAACCCCACCCAGCTGCCAGGGCAGGCCCGGCCAGCCCACCAGCCCCCAGGGCCCTGGGAACCTCCCCATGGGTGTAGTGGGCCCATGGATGCCAATCAGGCTCTCCCCTTGACTGAGACCACCTGGGAGTCCAGGGATATCACGTAAAGGAATAAAATATTTGAGCTAAAAGCCAGAGGACACAGTCCGCATTGAACCACGGGGTGGAGGGGAGTAGGCCAGTACTTCTCACTCCCGTCCCAGGGAAGGCCCCCTGGTGGAATGTCACCCGTGGGAGAGAGTGTTGGTATCTGCACTGGGGCAGGCTGTCCCATCCTCGAGGGATGTCATTTTCAAGGGGTTACTCTCTCTAATGGAATGTTATCCTTGAGGAGGATGACTCATGATGGAGCAAAATCCATAGTGAAATTTTGGCCCCTGGGGAGCACTCTGGGGGAGCGTCCTCCTGGGAGCATTCTGAGGGAATGTCCTCCTGGGAGCACTCTGGTGGGCGCCTCCTGGGAACACTGGTGGGCGCCTCCTGGGAGCACTCTGGGGGAGTGTCCTGGGAGCACTCTCTCTGGTGGGCATCTCCTGGGAGCACTCTCTGGTGGGCACCTCCTGGGAGCACTCTGTGGTGGGCACCTCCTGGGACTGGTGGGCACCTCCTGGGAGCACTCTGGGCGAGCGTCCTCCTGGGAGCACTCTGTGGTGGGCACCTCCTGGGAGCACTCTGGTGGAGCACTCCCCACTAAAGAAAGGCCCTAGTCTACAAGAGTGGCCTGTAAGGGACTGTTATCTGTAATGCAGCACCAGAGTCCAGGGACCCAGGGTCCACACTGGAACATCACTCCCTAGGAAGCGTCTTTAAAATCAGAATAAACGGTTGTCAAATAAAGATTTTCTATAAAAGTATTAAAAGATAGGAGTTTATAAAATGTGTAAAATCTCCTAGAAGGTAAAACAAGAAGACAGTGAGTTGAGAAATTGAGCAAAAATAAAATACATAGAGGGCCTTCCCAGGATGCCTATCATCTGACGCATAGAATTTTCAGGAAAAAACATTAACAGGAGGTGGGGCTGGGGGGGCATTTAAAGGAAGTGATCTGAAAAGCCGCCCGCCAGTCAAGAATAAAGACATTTTCAGACAGGTGGTTTTGTTTTGTTTTGTTTTAAAGATTTTTTTTATTTATTTATTTGAGAGAGAGAGAATGAGAGAGAGCAAGCACATGAGAGGGGGGAGGGTCAGAGGGAGAAGCAGACTCCCTGCCGAGCAGGGAGCCCGATGCGGGACTCGATCCCGGGACTCCAGGATCATGACCTGAGCCGAAGGCAGTCGCTTAACCAACTGAGCCACCCAGGCGCCCTTTCAGACATGCGTTTATTCCCTGTGTCCTCTCTTTGGAAGCTACCAGAGGAAAATCTCAAACTAAGGTTGTAAACCAACAGAAGAACCCACATGAGGGGGGCCGCGGAGGGAAGACCCAGGACGGCGTCTGTGCCGCAGGCCGGTGAGCCCTCCCGCGCCCGGGTCGTGCCATCAGCCCCGCCATTCCCTCCACGTGGACGCCAGAATTAGCTGGTCAGGCTTTTGTTCATTTTCCTCTGGGACCTTTATGTTGGGATAGCCCTGGATTCACAGGTTGATTTGGGGGAAGAACTGACATGTTTACAGCATCGATTCTCCCCAAAGCACCACGCGACCCACTCATTTCTCTAGGTGTCCTTTTCTGTTGTCTGGTAAAGGGTTGAATTCCCCACGTAGGGCTTGCAGCGTCTTGTGACCCGTATTCCTGTGTGTTTTATGCTTTTAATAATGTTGTGTGTTCGCACTGGTTATTAGGATCGCACAGAATGGCCCGGGGCCGTATGTACTTGCCGCAAACGGAGCCGGGCGGACGTCCGCGCTAGTTACCGCACTCCTCCTGCAGCGCCTTCTGAGGGCACAGAGGGACCGCGCTCCTGGCCCTTTGTGGTCGGGGGCGGGACTCGCTCTGGGCAAGTCCTTGTGTTGCTTCCCAGCTGGGGTGCATTAAACCGCCAGTGTGAACACCCCCTCCAAACCGCCAGCATCCAGGACTGTTCCCAAGGGTGGCCGCTCTGTCGCTCTCATGGGGAGAACACGGCCCAGTGTTGGCTGAGCCGTGTGGAGCATGCAGTGCGGCCAGGAAGTGAGCCCCCGAAATTGAGCTGCTCATCAGGGCCGCACAACCTCACCTGGCCTGACACACATTTACTAACCCCTCCCCCTGTTCCACCAGTTTTCGGGTGATTTCCTTACTTCCCAGGCGGAGGTCCTATTCAGACAGCCGGCTGTCCCTCCTTCACGGTGCTCACCTGGGCTGCCACGGGGACCACGGGGCTGGCCGCGGGCAGTGACCCTGCCTTTGTTCCTGCCTGTGCCGGGGGCCACTCTGAGGCCCCACAGTTCCGGACATTTGCAGGATGGGGAGTTTGATACCCAGGTACTAGATCTTCTTTAATTTCAGCTTCCTCTGAAATGGTAAAAATCAGACACAGGTGTTCGATGTTACGTGTTCAGCATCTTTGTCCCCGGTGGTGTGTTGATGCTGCAGATCGCCCAGATGGGCATTCTGGTGCTGGTCCGCTGTGGATTCGTTCGTCCACGTGTTTATGTCATTACCCACTTGGTCACTGTGACCAGCAGTCAACCGCCTTGATTCAGACACTCTTACTTGGGAAATGATTTTAAAAGTTGTGGTCTTGCCCACTTTAAGCAAACAAACTTCACTCCACGGCCCCAAATCCCGAGGAGGAAACGGGGACTCCGTTCTCCCGAGTCAACACCATACCTGACTTTGCTAATCTTTCTGAGGATCTCGCGTGTTTGCCCGAGGAATTGGGGGCAGCGTTTCTGGGCTGTTCTCCCCCGGTCTGGCCTCCATACATGGGGACACCAGCTTCACGGGGGTGCTCTGGTGGGAGCCCAGGAAGCCCGTGAGCCCGAGCACGGGGCGAGCGCAGGCCTGGGCACTGGCTCTGGGTTCCAAAGATAACCAGTCTCTTGGCCGCGTCACTCCCTGTTCTAGAAACGATTCGGGCAATTTAGATCTTTCTGGAAAATGTGAACGCATCAGCTCCCGGAGCACGCTGTAAGACGCTGTCTATCCTAGCGCGTTCCCGGGTGTGATGTCACCGGCACAGCTGTGACGTCCCTGGCACCTCTGTCCACGTCATTCCGTGTTGCAGAAGCCACACGTCTGGGTTTCCTCCTCTCTCCGGGTCCCAGGGAGGAGCCAGGTCGCTGGGCCCAGCGCCCCACCCAGCGTCCCTCCTGCTCTGGCTCCAGACGCCCCCTCGCCGAGGGGCTCCCGCGGGGCCAGCGCCAACCAGGGGGTTCCGCTGGAGCTCTGGTTGCCTCTCCACTGCAGACGCTCCCCTTTCCCAGAGAACAATACGTGTGCAGCGTGCCCGCCGCCCGCCACCACCACATTATTAAAGCCATAAAGCTCTTTCCGGGGTGCGGCTGCCCTGAGCTGACGGCACCCCCGGGAGGGGCCGCACGGAGGGACGGCTGCATCTAAACGGTACTAACCAGGGCTGACACCTCTTGTTCTTTCTCAGTGGTTTGTTCTGGGAGGAGAGACCACGGGTGTAGGTTCCTAGAAGCTCCTGCACCCCGACCCCGCGCCGCTCGCCCCGCGCTCTCAGGGAGGAAGGGACGCCGTGCGCCCCGAGCGCCAGGTCCCTGTGCAGAACATCTTCCCAAACCAGGGGCCCCGGGTCTCAGTGGAGCACCCCCTTCCTGCCCTCCCCTGACAATGCCTTCCATCTTGACCTCACATCGTGGGGAGTTGTTAGTTTTAGGATCCACTTGGCTTCAGCTGGAGCTGACTCGCACAGAAAAATGAACATGCCGTGCACGACCTCTGATAGGAATATTGTGCGCAGAGGGCAGCGGCTTTACCCTTCCCCCTAGGGTGACTTTGTCACGGGTGGGGGCAGGAGACGGGCACAGGCTGGGGGCCCACACTCGGGACCATGGCCCTTGGCCTTTCTGGGTCCAGGAACCCCTCTTCGATGTCAGGAGCTTGATGGGGACGTGGCGTCCGTTTGGGAAAGTGAAGGACACTCTGCACGGTGGTGACAGCTTCACATGGTGTGAGTCACTTAATGCCCCTGAGCTGCACCCACAAAGTGGCTAAGGGGCGCTATGTTCTACTTTATCACAATGTTTTAATTGCTTGCTATGACTTACACAGTTTAGCCAGAAAAAATATGTGATTTAATATACATATATATTAGTTTGTATATAATACAGTTTAGCCAGGAAAAAAAAAGTCCAGGGAAAGGACAGATCACTTCCCCCCAAAAGGCACACAGGCATGCACCCCCATTGCCGGGGTCTTGGGGTCCCTGGGCACTCAGGGCCGCATCAGCACGTGCTGATTACTCCCAGTGTGGGGGGGGGCGACGCTCCCGAGACACCAGGGCTGGTGTGGGAATTGTTCCAGATACAGAAATGGGGGTGGCGTCGATCCGAGGCCCTTCTGAGCAGACATGTCCGAGGCCGGCGTTGGCAGCTTTCCCCCCATCCCCACTGGAACCACGGCGCTGTCCCCGTGGGACACCCCACCAGCCGGGGCCTCGGTGACATACAGTGGAGTAGAGCCACGGCCAGCGTGTGACACACAGGAGAGGGGTTCTCAGCCACTTGTCAGTGCCATGCGCCTGGCTCAGGCTGACCGCCAAGCCTCCCGCTTAAGGGGGCCTGCAGCCTCGCCCCACCTCCTGGCAAAGCCCCTCACTCACACATGCTTCTCATCCAGCACCACCTCCTCCTGCTCACGGGGCCCACACAGGGGTGGACCCTGGCGGGTCCCCTCCTCCGAGGGGCTCTCAGTCTGTAACCAAATAGGGCAACCAGGCCAGTCAAGAGGTCAGTGTGGGGTGTGGGGACGGAGGGAGGTGGCCTCGAGCTGGCCTTCAAGGGGACGGATGAGACCCACACGCCGGGCTCCCCTGTGATCAGACCCTCTGCTTCCCTGTGGGCCTGGGTCCAGCGGCTCTTCATGCTATTCCAGGTGTTTCCAGAACAACCTGGAGGGTGTTACAGGCTCAATCCACACATTGAAGCCCCAACCCCAGGACCTAGGACGTTGCTCTGTGTGGACACAGGGTCTTCAAGGACGTGCCAGAGGTGAAATGAGGTCACGAGGGTGAATCTAACCCAATAGAACAGGTGTCCTTCTAAGAAGGGGAGAGCAAGACGCAGACATGCACAAGGGGAGAGGCCTCCAGACCATGAGAAGTAGATACCTGTGGTTTAGGACACCCCGTGAAGGCTGGGCGGCCCGTGTGTCCTGCTATGTATTGTTCCTATTGACTACTCTGTTAGTCAGGGTCCTCCAGAGAAACTGGACCACATGGCACTTACTCACGTGGCCTCAGTTAACACAGCCTCACCCCACGTGTTCATCACACTCATCATCCACATAAGTGGCCTTAGCCCATGTGGCCTTGGGTCATGGGACCCCCAGCTCAAGTGGTGGCTAGGCCCATGTGGCGTTGGTCCATGTGGTGCCCACTCACGTGGCCTTGGTCCAAGTGGCACCTGCTCACGTGGCCCCGGTTCACATAGCAGCCTCTCAAGTGGCATCCACTCACCTGTGGAGGACACATCGCTTCAGAGTTCTGTGCAGGGGCGACACATTCATCCTTCTCAGAGTCCAGGTATGGGGACCACGTCCTCTGTCCCTGGATTGCCAGGACTAGAGACCGATTACCTCCTCCTGGTGTCCAGGTGTGGGGGCTGAGCTCCTCCTCCCCGGGGTCCAGGCATGGGGATGGGCAGGGCCTGGCACTCCACAGTCTCCACCGCCATGTTCTGCCATCTTCCTGGGAACTGGGGCCTCACCCCCTGATGAGTTCATCTGTGTTTGTTGGTGCTGGAGGAAGGGGCAGGCTGCCACCTCATCAGCACCCCGAGTCCCTGCAGCTGGGGTGGGTGGTGGGGCCTGAATACAGGGCCAGGCACCAGGGGCAACGACGCTAACATGTGGGACCGATGTCCCAGGTTTTTGCGAAATCTGGGTGGTGTCCTAGGCTCTGTCGTGGGGATTGTGGGCTCAGAAAGTGGTGAATTCTGCGACTGGGAGGGGATCCGCCTGTGGGAGCTTCGGAGTTCTATTCTGGGTGTGCTCGTGGTTGGGGCGATGGGGAAGGCACCGACCCCCTGAAGGCCTTGCCTGTGGCTGAGGAAAGGCCCTGTCTCCATGGACTGCAGTGCCCCCTGCAGCCCGAGACTGGCTCCCAGGGTGTGGACCGCACACGTTCAGCTCAGGGGAGCCGGGGACCTGGGGCAGGGCAGGGTCCGGCCGACGAGGCTGGGCAACAGGAGGGGGGTTCGGGGGTACCTGGCGTCCACCTTAACCCGCACATCGGGTCCATTCTGCCCAGGGCAGCAGGACACGGATCGCCCTTCCAGGTCAGGGCCCACACTGGTGTGGGGAGCAGCGAGCATGGACACCCGGCAGCCCTGGGGCCGCCTGCGGGAATGCTGAGTGACCGTGGGCAGGTGAAGCTGCCTCCTCAGAAAGACTGTGGGCAGGGGCTCCGTCCACCCTGAGCTCTGTGTAGGCCCGTGTGGACCAGCCGGAGACAGACAGGCCAGGAGGGAGCTGGCCTGCAGGGCAGCCAGGCACGGGGGGAGGCGGGGACCCAAACAGGGAAGGTGTGGGGAGAGCCCAGGACCTGGAGCAGGGGACCCAGCGGCCTGTCGGGGCTCACACAGACCCCAGGCGCCCTGCGGCTGGGGAACCCCAGGACCCCTCAGGTCCCCAGATCAGAGACGGCCTGCCCATGAGCGGTTCACGAGGCCACCTTTGAGAGAATTTCGGGAGGAAGCATCTGCACCCGGGGGGTGCACATGTGGGAGCGCGAGCCACACGGGCCAGGAGAGAAGGTCCAAGAGAGTCGGAGTGACTGTCGGGGCCGCGGAGCACCCACAGGCAGCCCAGAAGCCAAGGGGGGGCGTGCAGGGGAACCAGGGAGTCGGAGGGAGAGCCTGCGCCCGGAGCGGGGCCCCGTCAGACCCCACGCAGACCTCATAGAGCCCTGGTTACTCCAGACCCCGGGGCCCACCGGGCATCCAGGTGGAAAAGGCACTGTCGGGCCCCAGCGTCAAGTGGCTGCCTCCGAATTTGGGGCGTGAGTACTCGACAGCCTGGGCGTGTACATTTGGGGGAGCACCCTGAGCCCCACAGGCCACGAGGGAGCCGGCAGACACAGGCGGCGTGAAAAAGGGGGCCCGCTGCGCGCTCAGCCGGAGGCCCCCGCAGAGGACCCGCTGCACTTGTTCAGGCTGCGGAGAGGGGAGCGGAGGCCCGAGGCTGAAACGGGGGGCCCATGTGTGGCGCTCAGGGGCCCCCTCGGCAGGCAGCCAGTCGCAACACGGACTCACTGTCGCCCCAGAAACATTTTGTGGGGGGAGGGCTCCCTGGAGGGTGTCCGGCTGCTTCTGGTGCGCGCCGAGATGCACCGGCAGAGAGACACCCGGCTTCCACCGCACAGGTGAGGGGCGCCTAGCGCGCATGCGTGAGCCGCGCAGGTGCGGGCAGCCAGGGACCCAGAAGAGCGCGAGCGTGCAGCGCGGCTGGGGAGGGGGCGGGCCCCCGGGGGCCCAATCCTCTGCCCAATTCCCAGCCCTCGGCTGCACACCTGTGCCTACTTCGCCCCCAGAGGCGAAGCTGGAGGAGCGGGGTCTGCCTTGGTCGCAGGGGCCGGGGAGGCTGGCGGGGTGTTTTCCAGCCACAGGCACCCGGGACCCCGTCGGGCAGGCAGCTGTCCCCTGACAAACGGTGTGGGCTGCCCGTTTTATTCCGGAGGCTGTTGGGGTGATCCCGGCTATCCCGCATCTCCACCGGTTTCCAGGGCCTCGGCTGGCCGACAGGTGCGTATGGCGCTTTTAGGAGCTGCCCGTGTCAGGGGAGCCCGGGGCGCGGCTGGTGTGGGGTGTGGC